CCACCGACCGCCCTGGCTGGGGCTCGGCAGCGGGGTGGCGTCCGCCCCCGCCCCGCCCCGCCCGGAGCTCCAGTCCCCGGCTTCAGGATCAAGCCGACTAACAGCTAACCTGGTGTCTCCTGTCTGACTGCAGCATCTCTCCCTTTTAAACAGTGTATATTAATTGCTTTGCCTTACTTCCCATAGCTAGAAACCCTGTCTCCCCCAGTCTCCCATGTACAGATTCTTTACTTGGAAACTTTTTGGACTGTTGCGTGAGAACACAGGGCTTTTAGATTCTCCCTCATGTTGGGGAGGGTGGAGCGTTGTAGGGGGGACTCGGGACCCCGAGCTCAGCACTTGCTCCTGCCACGCCGGAAACGGACAGCTAGGTGTCCTTGTGGGAGAAGCGGAGTGCGGGGTGTGAGTCCGGCCCTGGGCCCCTTTCCTGCGGAGGAGGCCCTGAGCACTGCCCCAGCCGCCTGCCTGGGCCACCTGGCTGTGCTTGCTTCTCCTGGCTGGCAGGCAGAGAGGACTGTCTCCCACGTGCAGGGTGCAGCTGGGAAAACAACCTGCTATGAACGAGCATTAATCCCAACAGGACAGAAGTGGGTTAGTGAAAGTCTGCTTCCACCGGAGCCCGGGTTTGGAGTGGGGGTGGGCAGAAGTACTCAGGCCTGGAAGACCCCTAGACACAGCAAGCCTGAGGCTGCAGAGGGCGCCGGCTGTGGCTGGCCCCGTGGCAGCACGTTCCCCTTTGGGCAGGCGGCCCTATTGCCCCCTAAGTAGAGCTGCCCGCCTGCAGCCCGTGCAGGTCGGTGGATGGCCACGGCCACGGCTGGCTTCCTCTGCGCGCGCCTGGCCATGGCCCCCACTCAGCCAGCCCCGCCAGCCTGTGCTCAGGGGAGGTAGTCTAGGTGCGGGTCTTCATCAGAGGGCGTCCCCACACCAGCTGCCTTCATTTTTCTCTCTTCGCATCTTTTCCCCTTTCCGTCTCCTTGCTCCAACTCAAGCTCTCCATCAGACCCCTTGCCCAAGTTGATGCTCACACTAGGGCTCACCTGGCCTCTCAGGGGTCAGCTGGGCCGGCCCTCCTCTGACGACTGAGAACACTGAGGCCTCTCCAGAGCCTGGGGACATGCCCAGGACTGGGGGCAGTGACAGAGTGACAAAGTCCAGCGCCATCTCCTCCAGGGAGAGGCTTGTTCATTCAGGCATCTCCCTCCCCTCCCGTCAGCTGGCCTGGGTGCTTCCTCCTCCCTCACGGTTTCCGTGGCTCCTGTTTCCCGGGCAGCGTGTGTGTCTGGTGTGCGTCTGATGCCCCCGTGGTGGGAACTTTGCCCCAGTGTGGTGTCCCGCTTTGATTATTAGGCAGGCGGCTTGGGAGCCCCGGGGTTAAGGGCAGTCACTGTGGCCAGCCCATCCCTGTGTCTCATGCGCCTTCCTGCTGCCCGCAGCCCAGCTCCACGTGAGCCACGCCTGAGGCCAGGCCCTCTGGCAGTCTGTCCAGGGTCAGTTCCAGTAGCTCTGACACCCCTGGTTTCCCTGGAACGCAGGGATTCGGGGTCATGAGTAGTGGGTGCCACCACCCTGTGTCCCAGGAGAGGAGATTGAGGCCCCCCTCTCCGCCCCACGCCCGGCGTTCCCGAGCACGACCCTGGGCCGCGCTCTCACATAGACACACAGCTCTCTGGGAGAAGCGGAGGAGAGGGAACCAGAGGGCTTCCGCCATCCAGCTTGGGGGGTGCTTTGAGGGGTGAGGAGCTTCTCGAATGTCGGTGTTTATTTATGAGCAAGCTGGCTCTCAAGATTCACCCGGAGGAGGAAGCCAGGGCAGCTCCCTGGGACCTAATATGAACAGTAACAAAGTGCGCTGAGTAGAACCCGGAGGCTTAAGGCCCATGAGCCCTAGTGTCTTTTGTCAAAAGCTTTGTAGCCGTGGACCCCTGGGGGGGTTCCTCCCAGGCGGGCTGAGGCCGATAGCCGTGGGGTCCCCATTCTGGCAGCTGGTGTCGGCGCGGTTCTTCTGCGGAGATGCACTGACTTTCCACACTTGGTTCTGAGAACTTGGTGACGTGGCAGGCACCCTCCCAGAGGCCAGCGCCCTGGCTTAGAAGCATCAAGATAACGAAAGCTGGCATCTCCTGTCACAGGAGCGTGTCGGGCAGAAGCCCTGCCAGCAAACCTAAACCTGGCAGATCGTGCCCGGTGAGCCTGCTGCTTCCTGTTTGATGGGGTCGGGCTGCCCAGCGGCGTGTGTGCCCTGCAGAGGGAGGACCGACTTCCCTTGTCCCCAGGAGTCGTTTTAGGGTGGTTTGAACTCCTTGATGTGTTTTCATTTCAACATTCTTAAGTCCCCAGTTGGTCAAAGAAATAAAAAGGCAGTGTAGATTCTTCCTGATCTGATCGAGGTTGGCTTGAACCTCTGTGGAGTGCTCACGCTGGGCAGAGGAGGGGTCTGCGGCCTGGCTAGGAGACTTCCGCCCAGCTGGCCCAGACCCTCGGGGCAGGTTCCTGCTCCAGGGAGGCTGCGTCAGTCGGGCTGTGCCCCCAGCTCTCTGCTCTCCTGGCTGAGGTCCTGTTACTTGCTAGACTTGGCGAACACGAGGGCAGTCTTCTCACTGTGTATTTTAACTTGATTCCTCCCCTAGATTGTGGTGTTGGGTGAGCCAGCTATAGACACATGCTGGCAATTTTTCTAGAAAGAGTGGGCTTGTGAGTGAGCCCCCAGAGGTACTACACAGACCCAGCCTAGGTGAGGACACAGGTCACTGGCCAGAGCACGGTCAGCCCGTTTCTCTAGGCTGGGAGCCAGCATTTCGTTTATGGGGCTTTGAGGGGGTTGAAGGTTACTTTAATTCTTATCACATTATTATCTCATTACACCTGACAGCAGCAGAACTGTTCTAGCCAGATGCATTCTCCGGCCCTGGGCAGGGTGGCCCAGGCGTGGGCAGGGCCCAGCCACCACGAGGGCATCCTCCTTTGCTCAGAAGCCGGTTACCCTGCCAACCACTCCCCTGCTTTCTGTTGCACTTCTGGTCTTTGATGCTGGCGCGTTGGAAGCTGGGGTGAGAGGAGGCTGCCGAACTCAGGGCGGCTTCCTGATGGTTCCACTGGAGAGACACAGAGATCACCAGGCCCTGCGGTCCCTTTGGCCATCAGAGGCCTTGATTTCACCGTGTGTTTGTTGGTAGCAGAAGGTGCCTGCCTCTGTTGGCCAGGCCATACCGGCCTGGGTGCTCTCCCCACTCAGAAGTGCCCCAGGCCCCTGGGCACCGCCCCTCCCTGGGCGGACCCCTCCCGTCGGGGCCAGCCAGCAGGCACAGCGCGTTCCTGGACTGGAGGCTGCTCTGTGGCCCAGGGCTGAGTCAAAAAGTTGTCCACTTGAAGAACGCGTACTGCGCCTCCCTCCCCAGCGCCCCGCCAGCCCTGCTTCTAGCAGCCAGCACGCTCCGCCCTGCCCTCCCACACGTGCCTGTGCGCCCAGCCCGCTCTGCCCGCCTGCTCTGCTCTGTGTACCTGTGGTTCCGTCTGGGCTGCTTGACGACTGACGTGTCGGTGTTCTGTCTTCCCCGCCCGCTGTGGCTGCCTGCCCGCTGCTTGCCGCCTGCGCAGGTCCCCGTGGCGCAGCCCTCTGTCATGGACGACATTGAGGTGTGGCTCAGGACGGACCTGGTGAGACTCGACTTTTCTATCTCGCGTGGGGAGTGGTGAGGCCGAGGCGCCTCTGAGGACAGGCCTCAGGGGACGGCACGGGGGCCGCTCCCCGGGTGGCGGAGGAGGGGGGGCCAGGCAGGTGCCCTCCAAGGTGGTCAGCACCTGCTCAGGCGTCGCCGAGCCGCCTGCCACGAGGCTGGCGGGACCCAGAGCTGGGCTTCGGGCCTCGGTCCTGCTGCCTGCATGGCACACTTCTCCCGTTACTCGACAGTCTCGGGGGTGTGTGCTTGGGTTCTTTTGGTTTTTTGATTTTTGAGTT